GCGGGTTCGAGTCCCGTCTGCCTGGCTGCCTGGTCCGCGTGGAATTTTTTCTAGTAATAATTTCTTTAGATCATATCGTTCTAATTTTAGTAATTTCAACACTATAAATATAAATCTTTATATATGTATAAATAATAGATAGATAACTATTAAGTTCAATCACAATTATTATAAGTATTATTTTTTATCAACATGCGAATATTTTAATTCGAACAAAAGGACGTCACAATACAACTCTCTTCATTCAAACGCTGGCATTTTACATGGCTATTCATTCTTGTTTTGTTAATTAGGCAACATTCTCTCATTTTCATTCCTTAAAGAGCATGTTAAGGATAAATTACCTTCAAATGTACAAATGGCAAATACGAATAACCATGCAAAGCGCAAACATAACTATAGTTTGTAGGAAAATTACAATGAGGGCTATCCATAGAGATATAAGAATAGAGTAGGGGAGATATGTACTCTACTACAAGTGTCCGTCTAGTAGAAAGAGAAAGAAGATGAGAGACGGCTAGCTCTATCTCTCTCCCTCTTGTGACGCTGCGCAGTCGTGTGATTGGTCGGTATTCATCCGTAAGATGATTTAGATTAAGATTCAAGCCATCTCTCATCTTCTTTCTCTTTCTACTAGACGGACACTTTTAGAGCCGCCTTCCCCACTCCATTCTTATACCTCTATGGGGCTATCGCGTATGAATCCGCCGCTAGAGGCGCTTGTGTAGCGTGAGGTCTCCGAAATGTCAAATGTTATTGCATGTGTTGACTACGCGGGTTTATTTCGAATTAAATCAATTTTGCGAATATTTGATAATAACTCGGCTTAACTATGGCAAATATAAGTTACGTGGCAGTGAATGACAATTATTTAAAAGCGGAACTAAGAAAAATAATTATGTCCTCCTTTTTTTCCAAACAAAACGGTACAGCGAAACCAAGGAACTTATATACTAAAAAAATGAGGGGGGAATGCTTACGCGACCCTCAAAATCATTCCAAGAGCATAGCTGAATTGATGGAATCTGTCTCGTTCTAGTAGTGTGCCCAAACAGTTGCAAGAGAGGGACAGATTCCACTTTCGTCGTGTCGCGCTAGTAATATTTTTCCCGCTTATGAAGGTAGAAACTTAGTTAGTAGTAGTACTAGTAACTTAGAACGTAGAAAAAATGGACTTTATGTATAACTTGTTAGAGTACATTTTTTGAATTCCTATATTGTTTCGTAAGCATTCCAGTTAGTATATAAGTTCCTTGAGCGCAACACTGTGGTATGGCAGATTATGTTTACGACACGATTCTTTTGTATTAAAATATGATTTTAATGTAAACTTTGATTTCACGCGAGTATTAATAAACTTTAAAAGTTACAATTTAGGACCTCACCTCAACAGTGGCGCCGTCTAGTGAAACAGAAGACGGTAGCCCTCATTCTCGGGTTATTTACCCTAACCTTGTTGCTAAAAGAGCGGGTAAAATGACAGAAGTGTATACATATTTACATACGTCACTGTACAGCATTGACGTATAAGTACAAGTAGATTCACCATCGCGTTCAAAAAGTGTCGGAACCAAAATTACGCACATGCGTCATTTGAGCGTAATTTTCAAACAGTCGTGTTTCGACCGAGCTGTCATTAGAACGCTTCAGAATGACGAAATTTTAGTTTAAAAACTGGGCAAATGACGCCAGATATACACTTAAAGAACATTTTTTTCAACTGAACACTTTATGTCCTGGCAGTAAGGTTCGTTCTGCTTAGATTCAAACGCCTACTCCGTGCGCGCTTAACGCAGCGCAGGCTTTAACTCATTTTTATAACACTGCGCCACTCGGGACTTTTTTTATGTACTTACGTTAGGCGATTGGGAGTGTACTAGTTTTTATAATTCAATGATGTACAGTCGTTTTTTTTTTATAAAAATAGTTTGAGATCAAAAATATAATCAATATAAAAAATATATAGAGAGAAATGTAGGAATACCCAATTCGAGATCAATATTTAAGAGCTTTTTCAATGGTTAATAAAATTTACATTCAATAAAATCTTGTTATATTCAAAGTTTGTCTTAGGGCTAATTGATTTATTAATTAGTGAACATTTTACTCGGTATAATAATTATATTTAAAATATGTACTATTTTCCTACTTATTATTTAACTATAATTATATGCGTAATTAAAAATATAATTTCAAAAATACTGGCCCCAAATTACTGTTCGTCAATGCTTAACAAGCTACTTAAATGATAATTATGACTAACCCAAATTTATACAAAATTATGATCCCTTCTAGACACATTTTTGAGCACAAAACCAATTTAAAGAAAAGAATAACTGTAATAACAATTTATTCTTGTAAATTTGGTGCAAATACTTGTCTGTTATAAGTTTTAGTACCGTAGAAGGAATTATAATTAGTTTATTAACGGTCTAGTACTACATAAAAAATATAATTAAATCTAAAAAAAACATTATTAAAAATCTGTAATTAACAGATATCTATATAAACATTTAAAACAAAACAACATATAAAATTCGTATAAAAGACACAATATATTTAAAAAAAATGTCATCTATCTACAGGCATAAATTGAATTATTTATATATCTAATATTGCCACAATAGCCCTGTATATTTATTTAATTTTTATATATATAAATAAAAAGTGGAACTTTATTTTTGAGCACTGTTTATACCTATGCCTACCTTAAAACTAAATACGTTATATCGGTGATAAGATTTTAATATAACATATAATTAAAAATATTAATTATTAAAATACTTTTAAGTAAATTATAGCTTATAAACTCGTCAGTGTGTCGAATAATTTTATCGTACAAAAAAAGGAAAATATTTAATTACCTCAAAGAAGTACTAAATGCAGAGAAAATCATATAAAAGCGCATTAGCGTATAAAAATAAAAAATATAAAAAATTCTAAAAACTCCAAAAAATATAATATCAAAACGAATTCAAATATTTGCAGAATCCCGATTAAAAGAAATAAATAACATTATTACAGACACACTACTAACGTTTAAAAAAGCGTATTTTAATAATTGATAAAAATTATGCAACTATAAAATTATACAAAAAAAGCTCCAAAAACTACTACAAAAAATAAATGTTGCGAATTACTGGCCTTAAGTTATATAATAATGCCGCTGTGGTATTGTATTCTTAGTCTAAATATTACTTTAAATTACCTAATATTATATTTTATTAGTATAAAAATATACCATTAGGTGTTTTGAATAGGAATGATGTTCAATTTTCATAACACGTGCTTGATTTATTTTTGATTTATCAATTAATTTCTTTTTATATATTTATTAATGCAGATACCAAGTACTTTAGGGGTAAGGTGACTTTGTGTTATAGAATTATAGAATAATCATGCTACTTCCTAAAACCAAATTTTAAAAACTAAACTTCGCATTTTATTTAAAACCTAAAACGGAGATTTTTTTGATGTTTATATTTTAAAGTTAAGTACTTTTTAAGTAAGGTGGCCATTTTATGTAGTTTATAATGCAGTGTAAACACACTTCAATGGAGTCATAATATAGGTATACAAATGTATAAAAATCTTGATTAAAATACAAAAGGCAGTATATTTAGAGATACATTTGCACTGTACATACTTGTATTTAATGTCATTGCTTTTATTGTACAGTCGATTTTTTGCACATGTTAAAGTGCACAAAGCGACTTGTGAGCAAAGTAATTGCTACTTATAAATTACTTATTATACTTTCTATAAAAATCTTCTTTCAGACTGATGTGAGGTACGTATTTCCAATTAAGTACGTACAAAATTATAAGAAAAATGTAAACAGCAACAAATATATAAAAAAATTAAACACAGTGACTTATACCAAAGACTCTCGAGATTCTGTAGGTGAATCTGTACAAAGATTGGCCCTCTTGCATTTATATTAAAATAAAAAGAAATTTATTAGTAACATACTGAACATGATATATTTTCATTATACTCCGATGTTGGAAAAGTTAGTTAGAAAAAAAATCAAGAAATTTGAGTTCTACAAATAGAATTTTTTGAAAAAAATAAGTTTGTCACCTGTTTGCACATGCAATGAAAAGGTAGCTTTATTGAAGTCATTAAGAGAAAGGTATTTTTAATCACGTTTTTTTCTGAGTGAATGATTCATTTTATCGACATAATTTATTAAATATTATTTAAGCATAGATTAAGATTTTATTTTAGTAGAGTTTCACGTATAATTCAACGAAACATCAAAGTTGTGATGTGTCATTCTTTGCTTTAAGCAACGTCTAGTATGCCAATCACTATTTATTTGAAACTTTTTCTGGTGTTTTAGATTTTTTTCAATACATACTAATATTGAGCATTTTAAAGTCGTTTTATTTTGTTAAACCCCTATTTAATAGCGTAGTGGAACCATATTCAATAGAAAACTAATGATGAATTTACCATCGACTTCCCTAGTTCTATTTTAAGTACAAAGGTCCATAATTTTTTGTCTGTTTTCGTAAATTTTTACGTCATTTATCTTTCGTACAAATGCAAAACTTATTATTTACATTGACAAGCATAAAATATTAAGCAGGAAATATTGTCTACTGACTACCAGTACAGACAATTGGGCTGGCTTCGCTATACGTATTTGCCTGTTTTGATGTTCGACGAATAATTCGCATTGTGTTGCACAGTTTATTTGCTTATTTGACAAATAGAATTAACAAACACGCATATTGCCGTATCTCTGCCGATTATTCCATGCGTATCAAGGAAAAACAGAGTTATAAAAAAGGAATCAAACAGACGAATAGGCAATTATTACAACCACTCTGTCCTATAATACACTACTAAAATACAATGTGCTCGCATTTGACCATTTCCATTCATAGCTTTCGTTGTTGTAACGTTGCTAATTGCCCTTTATATTTTAATTTATTGCCTTTTTATTTTTGCCTTAAATTGTTCTAAGTACGACAAGACGCAGGACATACTGTCTACAGACACAGACACAGGACATACAGTCTACTAGACAGTAGACTGTATGTCCTGTGTCTGTTATAGACATAAGTACAAACACAGGACATACAGTCTATTGTCTATAAGTACGGACACAGGTCATACTGTCTAATAAGTATAAGTACACGTACAGGACATACTGTCTACTGACTATAAGTACAGATACATGACATACTGTCTATAAGTACAAACGCAGGACATACTATCCACTACCTATAAGTACAGACACAGGACATACTGTCCACTCTCTATAAGTACAGACATAGAAGAAACTGTCTCCAAGTATAGACACAGGACATACTGTCCACTGTCTACCTACAACAACAGATGCAAACTACATTATATTAATGACGTCTCAAGTGTAAACGCAAATGGTCCGACCTTGCGAACGCCCGTCTGCATAACGCGCAAGTGAACGGTCTCAGTCCGGTGTGCTTGCGGGTGTGCCGCGTCAACTCGTCGGATCGGGCGAATCGCCATTCGCAGCCGGCCCAAGCGCAGGAGTACGGTTTCTCACCTTAAAAACAAAACGAAATCGTAAACTTAAAACCGTTTTCCACCGCCTAAGAGGAATGAACTAGGATTGTCTGGCAGAGCGGTCTTCGTGTGCAAAAATAAGATTAAAATAAGATTGCTTTTCCACCGAGAAAGAGTTCGGGAGTATTGATTTCCACCGTCAAAGAGCGAGCTAATTTTTACTCTTTCTGCTTGCTCTCTTTGTCATTTTCGCTCGACTCTTTGTTGGTAGAAACCAAAGATATAGGATGTAAAAATATACAGAGTACCTATCGCAAGTGTTCCCAAAATTGAGTTGTGCATGTGAATATGTACCTATGTCCTCAAAGAAAACCAATTTAAAATTTCGAGACCCTTGGTCCGTGGGGTCCTAGCGCTTTAAGGCTATTTAAGGAAATAGCAAAAAGGTTAGTCGACATCACAGGAGACCGAAGAGCTGGCAGCTACCTCGGACAAAGAATTAATCTAGCCATTCAAAGGGGTAACGCTGCCAATCTTCGGATCCTTTCCTAAAGGGACTTCTTTTAATAATATATTTTAGTTATTAATTTTATTTTTTAAGGTTTTTAGTTTTAGTTTTAATGTTCTAGTATATATAGTTATTATGTAATTAGATTGTTATCTTATAATATTTTCATTATAATATTATACACTGTCCCATTTAAAATGAACATAAAATTACATGGGTCTACTACTAAATTGAAGGGTAGTGATAGAGTAAACAGTTAACGTTGAAATTTTCTTTTTTTTAATCATTTGGGTTACACAGGCGATCTTTACTTTCGATGAAATAGTTTTAGAAATATTGGTTAATTTGTTTACATTTATGTCTTTGAATAGAGGAATTATAGTGAAATTTTCTTTAGATTTATATAACTGAAGTTTCACATACCTGTATGCGTCCTCTTATGGGCTTTAAGATGCGAACTTTTTGTGTAAACTTTATGGCATCCGGCGACGTCACACTTGTGCAGTCTGCGTCTATTCTGTGCTTCAGTTAGGGGCGGTTCAGGTTCGATGTCCTTCTGAGGTTTGGGGTAAGGCTTGCGTTGTGTCAGCTGGTTGAGGGAGCCTGGGAGCAATACAATGAATATTTTGGTTATTTTTAGGTAACAATGTGATTTATTCTATTTAATTTATTATAACTATATATTTATATTCTAAATGATGGTAATGGAAGGTGACTTCAGAAGTATCTCTGAAGTAATTTTTCACCTTGACGACTCTGAATATAACAACACAGGGAGAAAAAAACAGCCCTTGCTTGAGTTTCTTGCCAGTTATTCCCAGAACAAGGTCTCCCGCCATAGTTTTGGGAATCGATGGCGTAGCTTCTTGACCTTCACAAGTGCTTGTAACAGCCTAGACTGAATAAATGATTTTTAATTTTGATTTGATTTTGACGTTATATTTTTCTTTATAACATTATTTGGCAAGTCGTGGTTACATAATAAAAAATAAGTAACATCTAGTGATAAAAAAATGTCTTAGTAAAATTACATTAAAATCGATAAAAATTAAATTAAAAAAATGTAAACAATTAATTCATAAAATACATATCAAGACATCAATATTACAATTTAAATATTAAAATCAAGTAAACACAATTAATAACAGATGAAAACATAAATTGTAGGAATAAATTAAACACTATTATTAAACTGCACTAGAAAATATTAACTTGTCAAAATTACAAGCGCCCGCCGGCCACACCTCTCACGGCCCCCGTTCTCGTCCTCGCCCACACCCTGTACCCCGCAGACGAGGACTCAGTTAAGCGGTTTACCTATAGTATAATTTACCTTCACAATGAAAAAAATGTGAGCCGTCACGGGACGCCTGTCAGATGTGAAACATCGACGAGGACTCAGTTAAGCGGTTTACCTATAGTATAATTTACCTTCACAATGAAAAAATGTGAGCCGTCACGGGACGCCTGTCAAATGTAAAACATCGACATTATTTTGTAAAATTAGTAAGCAGAAAAGAACAGATTGCGATAGGAACTAAATATGGCATATTTGTTTCTTAAGTTTTCACGCATATCACTCATTAAATAAAACGATTTTTACGGGTTATATGCACTGAATTTATATATCTGACGTTTCGCAGCCTTTGCAGGACTGCGTCTTCAGAGATAATTTATTTGAAGTTTCGCAGGACGTATCGCAGCCTTTGTAGAACTGCGTCTTCAGAAATAATTTATCTGACGTTTCGCAGTCTTTGCAGGACTGCGTCTTCAGAAATAATTTATCTGACGTTTCGCAGCCTTTTCAGGACTGCGTCTTCAGAAACAACTATTAATGAAGATAAATAATAAATTCGATATTCGTAAAAATCAATTTATTTAAAATGGCATAATGATAAAAAAAATTAATATTACGATTTTTTTTTTCAAGAAAATTTTGACTTTATTTAATAAACATTTATTTTCATTAAATACAAAACTCGAATCGAAAAAGAGTCTTTGTAAGTTTACTTTCATTTAATAAACAAAAACACTACAGTTCACCTATTTTATTTATTACCTTGCCCAAGATGCGGTGGCCATTATTCAAAATGGCCGGAAAAAGTAATTAATTAATCATGCTGTTTTAGTCACATTGCCCAATTAAGTCGGGCATTATGAATATAGACTGGCCATTATTATTAGTGCCCGGACTTATCAAATTACCCGTAATATATATATATATATATATATACTATCATATAGCGTGGCGACGCGTCACCACAGCATGAGTGGCCACGCCAGAAATCGGTTTTACGTGCGCCTATAGATGTTTCACATCAAAAACTAACACAAAATCAAGAGAGGTATAGCGGATTTCCCGCTCGAATTGGAGCGCCCGTCTGGGGAAGTAATCCTCCACCTTACAGGAGACCACAGTAAAATAACACTACCTTTATGTGGTGGTGTGTGTCTGTTTACAAAGGCCCTTAGGTTTGGTTAGTTCCAATTTTCGGTACAACCATAAAGATCCTTGTCGCACTATAACTTAAACAAAAGCACTCACCCGTCAACGCATTCTGTAGCGCCGTGTTGAGTAGAAAGTTCTTGATCTCCTCGTCAGATGGCGGTTTAGGCAGCGCGAACGGTACCAGCGGCGGGAGGTATTGCTTGGGCAAGTCTGTTGGGCGATGGGTGATTGTTATGGGAGTATTGGAGGTCTGCGGGGGTTTTGACCTGCGAAAAGAATGACAATGTTATAATAATAAAGACATAAAGAGGTAATGATAGTATAGATCTACGATATTACAGATTCAGCGTACTAGAATCCATTATCAAATAACATTAAATCTCAGGAATTTAAAAAATAATAATTTATCTAAAGAATATTTAAATAGAAAAAAATCCACGCGGACCAGGCAGCAGACGGGACTTGAACCCGCACCCTTCGCTATCCGGGCGATTGCACTGACCAACGTGGCCCCTTGCTGCGGTGCGGGTTCAAGTCCCGTCTGTTGCCTGGTCCGCGTGGAATTTTTTCTAGGTATATTTTCTTTAGATTTATACATCAAGCAGTTACATACTTAAAAAATATAACAATCATTTATTTATTACTACAAAGTACAATAAATAATATTTATGGTACCAGAACTTCTAAATATTCACTAGAGGCTATTAAAATAAAATCTTCTATATAGACCCCTTGTTAAAATGTTAAAAAAGTATTATTTAGAAAACCAGGCAGGCTGTTTGGCGTGACTGCCTGTGGACCGCCTCTGCAGCACAGATAAATCTTTAAGGTTTTTGTTATTGATTAAATTAGTTAAAAAAAGAACAAAATAGAAAGTATAGAAAGCGATATTTAATACCCTAGATACAACAATACCAACAAAATCGTGGCCGAAACCTGTCCAAAAGGTACATTGGACGATCGACGGAGGAGTTGTGAAAAACGATATGAGGCTTCATTTAAACATTCAAAGTCACATTTAATGCAAAGTACATAAGGTCTTAATTTGAAACAGTTACGACAGTTCGAAATGCAAGCTCGCAAATGTATACTATGTGTACTATGTATACTTATACAACTTGTTACTATAGGCGTAAGAATATGAACTTTATTTCTTTGTCCTTACGCACAATTCACAATGCGCTGTTAGCAATATTAGACCAGGGTCGATAATTTTAAAAATGGTAAAAAGTGAAAAAAAATTATAGTAGGATGAAACCCATTGGAAAAGGTAGAGAATATAACAAAAGTTAAAGGAAAATTAAAATACGGGCGATCTGAGGTCGGGAAGGGGGAGGGGGTGAGTGTTTAAGGGTAAAAACCGGTTAATCTCGATCTCCGGGAAAACTGAAAGTCCTATGAAAAAAAGTTAAATGGCAAAGTTGTAGGTAATAAAAAGATCTACAACTTTTGTAACGACACTTTTTTCACATAACCTCAAAATTTATGTGAAAAATTCGAATAACCGAGTTTTTGGATTTTTATTATTATATTATGCAAAAAAAATTTTTTTTAACGAAATTTAGTGAACACTTACCTTTGTATGTCCCAAACATACAGCATTTTTTTTATTAAAAATATTAATTTTTTCACCTTATTTTGACTTAATATCGAAAAAGCACCCTTATTTTCAATCGAAAATTCTCACGTCAAAATATCTGCTTTTTTAAAAAAGGTGGTGTGTTTTTTGTTTGTTGAAATCTCTACTTTTAGATGGTGTAAAAAACAATATACACTACTATGGTAAATGTTCTCAGAAACTGCAAATTAATAATGATAATAACTCGAATCCGAAAATCCTATTTTTAATACCTACTTACAACAACTATTTTTGCATGTTTTATGGATTTGTAATTTTTCTGTTTATCAATATAACATGAAATCTTACGTTTTTCGAGTAATTAAAGTGTAAATTTTAATAAATTGTTCAAAATTATACATAATGATTCAAATCAATTTTTCGGATTGGAGTTTTTTTCATTATTAATTTGCAGTTTCTGAGAACATTTACCATAGTAGTGTATATTTTTTTTTATACCATCAGAAAGTAGAAATTTCAACAAACAAAAAACACATCAACTTTTTTTAAAAAGCAGATATTTTGACGTGAGTATTTTCGATTGAAAATTAGGGTGCTTTTTCGATATTAAGTCAAAATAAGGTAAAAAAAGGAATATTTTAAATCAAAAAAATTACTGTATGTTTGGGACATACAAAGGTAAGTTTTCACTAAGTTTCGTGGAAGATTTTTTTTTTGCAAAAAATAAAAATAAAAAACTAAAAACTCGGTTATTCGAATTTTTCACATAGATTTTGAGGTTATGTGAAAAAAGTGTCGATACAAAAGTTGTACATCTTTTTATTACCTACAACTTTGCCATTTAACTATTTTTCCTAGGACTTGCAATTTTACCGGAAATCGAGATTAACCGGTTTTTACCCTTAAAAACTCATCCCCTCCCCCTTCCCGACCTCAGATCGCCCGTAATTTATTTTTCCTTTCATTTTTATTATATTCTCTACCTTTTCCAATGGGTTTCATCCTACTATAATTTTTTTTGGTCTCAAAAATTATCGACCCTGGTCTATATAGCAAGTATGGACCGCGAGGAAAAGAGACGGTAGTATAACTTTAAGACCATGCATTTGAATATTACAAATATTTTCTATTAAATCAGTCGAAAGGTAGTAAGTATTAGAACAAAATTTGCTTCAACAACAGTTCGAAATGTCATTGTCAATTTTTGTATGTAAACTTGAACCGCAGCGCCATAACGGACGTAACGAGAACTAAAAATTACTACACATTTGACAATGACACTTCGCACTCGCAAACTATACTAAGGGTACTGATGAAAGATCGTAAGGCCAGAAAACCTTCATACATACTTAGTACTGTGCTGTTTCGTCTTCCTAGCACTTCTGAGATCTGGACCTATTTTAATTTTCGGAACTTGATGATTCGATCTGCAAAAGAAAAGAAAAATGAAAGCACATTGCCCGGCGAAAAATCGAACTTCAAAGTTATTTTTATAAATATTATGTTTATTCCTTTTCCTTTAATAAGCAGGGGGAGAGGAGCTCGATGGCGCAAGTGGTTAGCGCGTTCGGCTGCGAACTTTGAAGTTAAGCAACTTTCGCAGTGGTCAATCATTGGATGGGTGACCAAAAATCCAGTTTCTCGAGTCCCTTAACGTGCTTCGGCTTAACGTGCCTTCCGAAGCACGGAAGAGCTCAACATAGTAAATTTTTGGTCACCCATCCAATAACCGACCACGGCGAAAGTTGCTTAACTTCAGCGATCGCAGCCGAACGCACTAACCACATGGGCCATCGATCTCCTCTCGATAAAAAAAATACTTACTCAAACATAATAGTTGGTCTTGACTCAAATTCCTTGACAAGCCTCGAGGAGTTCGAGAAAGCCGTACCTGGAAATAAAAAATGCAATGATAACACACCATCACATAAACATCTTATTAATGTGGCCACTACTAGTGCACAAGCCTAGGGTAACCAACTTTTTTTCTATCAAATATAGTAATTTCGAAGCGAAACTTCTAAAAATATAGTAGCTTGCAAAAAAAATGGGAAAAAAATATACTATGTGGTACTTTATTTTTGAAATAAATATATTTTTGCTGCTTTTTGCCCTACTAATAATATAATAATCATTTTTAAGAAAGTTTTACTGTCAAAAATATGCTTTAAGCAAAATATAGTCGTTTCGCCTACTATATTTTTTAGTAATATAGGATACTATATTATATAGTAGGGTTGGCAACCCTACACAGGCAATACCCATGAATGGAAAAGGGAGAACGGAATGTGACAACTCACACAGTGGGCAGGGGCGTATTTTAAAATATAGCTTCCTGGGCACTTACGATATGATGCCCCCCTCCGTGGAATTTGTAAATTAATAAGATAAATATTTCCAACACTGACACCAATTAGCCTAGCCTGAAAGCAAGCACTGTAGGCTTTGTGTTATGGGTTACTATGGTAACGGATAGAATACATATACTGATTCAAATACATATAAGTATAACTAGTGGCCCGCCCTCGCTTCGCTTCGGTGTAGAGCTGTAGTGTAGACTAAAATGACTCTTCATCTATAATTATAATAAATCTGTAGAGAGGTCAATGAGGGCTACCGTTTTCTGTCTCACCAGATGGCGCCACTGTTGAGTGAGGTCCTAAATTGTAACTTTTAAAGTTTATTAATACGCACATGAAATCAAAGGTTACATTTAGATCGTATTTTAACACAAAAGAACCATATACTAAACATAATAGGCCATGCCACAGTGACGCCCAGTTCCGTTTTATTCGGAAAAAATGGGAACATAATCATTTTTCTAAGCTCAAATTTTTAATAACTGACATTCATTGCCACATAACTCATATTTGCCATAATTAAGCCGAATTGTTACCAATTATTCACAACATTATTTTAATAAGAAATAAAGCCGCGTTGTCAACCAACAAGCAATAACATTTGACATTTCGGAGACCTCACGCTACACTAGCGCCTCTAGCGGCGGATTCATACGCGATAGCCCTCATTCTGTACATGAAATATATTTTCAAAATTTATTTATTTTAGTTTTATTGTTAGTATTTATATATAGAGTAATTATGTAATTAGATAGACTTATTTGTACTGTACTTATGACATTTCAATATTCTTTTTGTGTATGAAATTATTAATTAATTGCAGGGGGTGATTAGTGATAGTAACTTCTCCCGTTTTCCCAACATTTCCCTTCACTACTCTGCTCCTATTGATTGTAGCGTGATGAAAAATATACTATAACCTGCCTAGGAGTATGAAGAATAATTGTACCAACTTTCGTTAAAATCCGTCGAGTAGTTTTTGTTTCTATAAGGAAGATACATACAGACAGACAGACAGACTTTAATAAATTTACTGATTGCATTTTTCAGTATCGATCACTAATCACCCCCTGATAGTTATTTTAAAAATATATTTCATGTACAGAATTGACCTCTCTACAGATTTATTATAAGTATATAGATTATAAAGAAATACATATTAAACATCCTTGGCTGGAGTACAAATGCTCGTATTCATCACACAAACATCTGCCTCCACCGAGATTCCGACCTCTCGAGTAGGCGACACCATGAGACCCGACGTACATACCACTCGGCCACGGAGGAGGAATCAAGTTTAAAGTAAAGAGCGTCTTTTATCTGGCTTCTGCTGCTCCTCGCAGTCTGCTTTCCCGAGCCATGAGCCACTTGGCTTAGCCCTAGAGTAAATATGCCCCTGGTAGACCTACTTACGATGGAACTAACTCTCGAATGCAAATTTTAACGCATTTACTCGTAGTACCCAAATCTTCGTCGCACAAGTGTATGAGGTTCGCGGATAGTTGCTGCGAACACACCCGCACTCCCGGCGTGCATTGGGGGGACTGCGGTCCTCAGAATGTACGCCGGGTGACCGGTGCAGGAGTATTGTCCGGATTTTAGTGGCCTTGTTCAGGGCGTTAGGTAGGCTGCTCATTTCACCCGGCCCAAGGGCTGGCTGTAATGAGCAGGGAGGAATCCCACATACTTTCTTCTCGCTCTCCGGTGGTTGAAGGATGCGTAAGGCATTGCCCAAACGAAACAAAAGATATATGAGGTTGGACGAAAATCTATATATATAAAACTCAAAGGTGACTGACTGAATGACATAGTGATCTATCAACGCACAGCCCAAACCACTGGACGGATCGTGCTGAAATTTGGTATGCGGGTAGATGTTATGACGTAGGCATCCGCTAAGAAATGATTTTGATTAATTCTACCCCCAAGGGGGTAAAATAGGGAATGAAACTTAGTCAATTTTAAACTGATCGGGCTGAGACTTTGCATGCAGGTATAAGAAGAATCATAGATGAATGACATTGTGTATAATACAAGCCTGAGAACAAAAACTGTAGTGTACACTTCAGCTCTACACCGAAGCGAAGCGAGGGCGGGCCGCTACTACTTCTATATATTTTGTTAAATTACCAACTCTAATAACATAGAACTTGCACCTTCATAAACAAGAAAAGGTATTGCACCGGTCCGGTCCTACTCCTGAAGATTTAATATATGAAAACTCATCAATAGCTTTTATCTGGCTTCTGCTATCCATCGCAGCCTGCCACCCCGTCCCATGGCCCACGACCCACTTAGCCCTAAAGTAAATATGCCCCTGTTACTTATGATGGAACTAATTCGCGAACGCAAATTTTAGCACATTTAGTGCCAAATCTTCGTCGTATGTATATGAGATTGGATGAAAGTACTTCTATATCTTTTGTTAAATCACCTACTCTAATTACATACTACTTACACCTTCATAAACAAGACAAGGCATTGCACCGGTTCCCTACTCCCGAAGATTTAATATATGAAAACTCATCAATAATTCATAAATCTCTCGCTCCGAATATGTCAGTTAACTAACGCTTTTGGCGTTTATATCAATATTTCAGATCAGCACGCTGTGTTGTTAGTTCGTTCGTTAGGGATTGTCAAACTGTGGGAAATGGATTGGGAAATCTTTACAATGGGATAGGTTTTATATCTCCCGTCTCTCGATGACATTATATCTATAAATGCCGTAGGATGATATAATAAATAGAATTTTCGCTAAGGTTTTATTTCATATTTGTTTCTTAGGTTTTCACGCATATTACTCATTAAATAAAACTAGTTTTAACGGGCTAATGCACGAAACTTTATTTGTTTATTGACGTTTCGCAGCCTTTTCAAGTCTGCATCGTCAGAAACTAATTTTTTATTTAATTTTGTCGAGCTAACTTCGAAAGACTTTTATTGAGCATTCGGTTATTTCATTGGAAGATTTTTAAAATTTTATTGCCTATTTATGAATTTATTAGTTAATTTAGTTAATAAAGAACTTTTTTTTTTTGTAATTTTAAGTTTATTTATTTGACCCTAACTAACTCGAAGGTAGCTCGACAAAATTGAATAAAAAATCAGTATTCTGACGATGCAGACCTGAAAAGGCTGCGAAACGTCAATAAATAAATAATATTTCGTGCATTAACCCGTTAAAACTAGTTGTTTTATTTTATGTTAAAAAAATTATCACTTATTTACATATAGTCATATATAATTATTAAGTCATCATCATCAGCCTATTAATGTCTCCACTACTTAGGCACATGCCTTCCCTGTGGATGGAATAGGGATATTGGGGCATGACCCACCACGCAGGCCCAGTTCGGATTGGTGGGTGCTAACGACTGCTGATGCAGCCAGGACCAACGATTTAACGTGCCTTCCGAAGCACGGAGGAGCTCGAGATAGTAAATTTTCGGTCACCCATCCAATGACCGACCACTGCGAAATTTGCATAACTTCAACGATCGCAGCCGAACGCGCTAACCACCCGCGCCATCGAGTACATATTAAGTAATAACATTTTTTTAGCATTATGTCTTCTGAGCCTACTATTTTGAGTGATTAAATCAACTGCAAGTATGTTGTTCGTACGAGTATGTCTTGCATCGCTTTACGCTTAAACTATATTTAATTTAGCTTTCAGAAAGATCGTGAAACATTGTTTTATTTAATATTATAGTGAAAGCATAATAAATAAATAATCAATCCGATATAAAGGGATGGATCCAGTTTTCTATTTAACAACGTCTCCTCTTTTTGTTAAACTTCATGTTAATTGCAACGCAACGTAATCACAGAACATTTGCTTCCATGCGCGTGCGCCTTACTAAATTTTCGGGCAACAAATGTGTGGCAGGTAGAACTGCTGTATCAGCTCTCTTCGCGTCTGGACTTCACCTTCACTTAACATCAGGTGGGGTGGCGTCATTTGTCGTACCTATCTATAAAAAAAAAAATGTGCGCACACCGTGTGCGTCGAGTCCGTGACATCTCTTCGGCGTACCTTTTTTCACGATTCAAGAAATTTTGTCCTCCACAAACAAAAGTACCTCGTCTGTGCAACCCATAAACCAGCCTTGAATCGACACTGTGCATATAGTTATATATGTTATGGCCTAAATACCATAGCCCAGTATTACTTTCTCCAAGCTTTGGTTGCCCATTAGAAACAGATCTAGATCTTAATTGTTGCTGTGCAGTATACACTAATATTGGTGGAGTCATAGAACGGGCTTTTTGAACATTGTTTTTTAAAGTAAAACTTCTTGACGCACGCTTGACTTGGGGAGTAACTCATTACGAAAAGTGTGATCGGGCGAGGCGAACGGGAATTGAGTGGGGGTTGCTTATATAGCAAGAGAAAGCAGTGCGCGTGCGCACATTTTCTTTTCGGAGGGCCCGCCTGGTATGCGGCCACCATAGCCTATAGACCCTGGGTTCCGAACCTGGGGGTAATTACCCCTCCGGGGGTAAATCAGCCATACTTCGGGGGTAA